AAGGGAAATAAAAAATAAGCTAAAGTAGAACTAAAATTAAGCTGAATATCAAACCAAAAACCATGCTAAACAAATATCACCTGTCCCGTAAGACGGATTTCTGGTGCTAGGGGTATCTAAGGTGGTTAACTTACTTTATTTTTACATATTATGATGACATTTGTGCACTTCTTCGCTGCATAGATTGCGTTCTATGCTTGTGATCTCTTCTGTTAACTGCCTCTATAACCGCTTCCTATATGAAGATTGAAAATTATGAAAAGTTTTTCCACACTTTCCTACTTCTGAGAATTGCTTCGTTTTAGTCGTGAGAACTGATTTCTGAAGGCCCCTTTAAGAAGCCGTATGCTCTATACTTTCTTTTTTATCTTGCCTTATCTACCTTTATATATACATTTAAACTGACCAAGGAAAAGTGTGTTATTGCCCATAGCCTGAGTTTGACTAAGTACAAATAACCTTGTTCTGGTAAATGCAGCTTATTTCCTACGCACATTTTTTAGAACTCCAAAAAATCAAGTAAACTTGATGGATATCAACAAACGAAAATCCACTTAGATATAGCGGTCTAAATTTTAATCAGTGCGTGAGCTCTATTCGCCTTACGACTTAATTTTGATTTCCACTAAACTAGCTTGATCCGTTATAAAACAATTTCTCATGGCATGGAGACTGAACGATAGTATTTCAGTTTCCATTTATGCTCTGCTTAGAAATCGTGTCAAGGATCTTGATGCTCATTTTTTGAATATTACTACCCCTACGCATCCGTTTATCGGAATGATTTTTTTAGAAAAGTGAACGAACTCTAAGTTGGCCCCACTAAACTTTTTCCTCAAACTCGACGGTGCATGCAAACGGTTTTATTTAGGTAGCCTTGAAATAAAATACAAAGCCGTTCTAAGGGGTTCTCTGTTTAGATGCAATATATTTACCTCCAGTCAAAAACTTTGCTGGTTTACCTCTTGAATAGGTATAAAAGATATACACAATTGTGTACTAGTTTCAGCACACGAGACGCCTCTTAATATGTGGATTATTCAAACATTCATTTGAATGTGGGTCGCAACACTGTAATCAGCAGTTGCCGAGCATGGTTGAAGTATGTGCTGATTTTTCTACTAACTTGTTAAATTTCAAACAAAATTTCACTGCATGAACATCACAGTTCATTTCATCTCCTTAGGATACTACTTCTAAGAGAGGAAGACCAGACAACAACGTGTTCTCCTAAAGTGGATTCGGGATCCGCACAGCGCACCGCTTGCGTTTGAAAATGTTTCTATAAGTATCGGCGAATCCTTTATAAATCCAATTTATTCACTGCCAAATCCGTCACGGCCAAAAGATATGCATGATTATTATTTAAGAAGCTTTCGTTTACAAAATGTATGGCGCCGTTCAAATGCAGCCGTCTGCTATTTAGTTTTCATTTTTATTTAACTTTCTGAAATTATATATGCTCTTCAATTTACACTAGCAACGTGATGTTTCTGAAATAAAGGATAAAATCTCACTAGCCTCTCCAGCTTTCTGTATCATAGTAGAGAAATCTCTGGTAAAACTAATTTTTACGTCCTGATATGCTTAACAACATCCGTAGAATTTGGTCACTCATTAAAGTGAAATTCGCATTGGATCATCTTCTATGCGATTTTAATTTGGCTTCTCTGTTCAAGAACGTATTTGGCGGATGGCAAGTTCTGGTGAATTTTACCATTATCTTCATAATAGTTCGTAGTTAGCATCAAACTCTTCTCTAAAACATTTGCATTCACAGATATCTACAAAACAATTTTTTAATTTACGAAGAAACTCAGCGGTCGAATTCGATGTCTAGGTCTCACTCCTGAACAAATAAGTCCCTTTTTAAGAGGCATTGAGTGCTAGTATGTATGTTTCCGATTAAATTATGCAATAACAGTCCTCCTAAATGAAGACTTTTTGTCAGTAAAAGGGTGAAACAAACCAACGATTTGTACTTTTCGGAAGACAAGTGTCTATGTATAATTTTTTTATATCTAGTCACTTCACTCCATATTATTCCTCATTCATTTCGCTTAGAGTTATATCCACTTGTCTAAAAGAGGCAGCATCAGCACGAACTGTACTCGAGTACGATTTTAACAGTGGGGAGCGGAATGCTTGGTAGGTCCTTGACGAGGAAATATCTGCGATTTGTTAGGTTTCATCATAATTACTTAGATTTTGTTTTCCGCGTTAAGGTGTTTATCATAACGGCTCGCGTC